AATATTTAATTCTGACAAGTCCATAGAAATGTTAATTTCTTTGCTTATCAAGTATTGGCTAAGAAACAAAATCTTGTTTTTCCTGGAAATACTGGGGGATAGGGAGTGGAGACAGGCAGGGAATGAATATGTCTACAGCTGTTCTGAAAGACAGCAAAATCTGGAGACTCCTCACATCAGCAGATGGGATAATAGAAATACTCCTCCCTTTTTTGGCTTCAGTAGTGCAAAACTGATGCCAGGTAGATATCCGTAAGTTCTGCATGGTACATGTGTTTCTAATTACTGCTCTGTATTTTAATAACTCATGTATGATTACATTACTGTTAATATGCTCCCTTCCTTAGGCGAGGGGAGTTGCCTAAGAATTACTTCAAAATGTAAAAATCTTACACAGTACCTAACTGGGATTTGAACAGAGTTCTTATATTTCCTGCACACAAGTGAAGCACAAAAAATCTTCTAGGAATTTTTATTTTTAAATTTTATTGTTCAAGGTACTATGGAAAATATTTTTGTTTGTTTGTTTGTTTCTGCAGAATCTCTCACATTGAATGTTTTGTTAGAATACTTTATTTTGTGTGCTGTGGGATCTCCTCCTCCAGGAGAAGCTACCACAGCATAAAAAATATTTGGGCTGCAGCCTCTCTGTATCTGCATGCCTATGGCTCAATCTAAGATCAATGAGAGCAGGGAGGAGAAAGGAATGTAGCCTGAAGCAGCAGTAAAGGAAAGACAGAAGCAAAAAGAATGTTGCGAGAACTGTAGCGCTCCTCAGTATCCATTATACAAATCACCACTGTTCATTTTGCCTTACGTAATCAGGTTCTAGAATTTTCAAGCCAGGGAAAATCAGATTGGGATGCATGCTTGAAGAAATGAATGCATGGTGGCAGTAGATTTTGTCTGGGATAATGTCCAGGGAATATTCTACACCTCTCTACCCATTTGCTGAAGTACACAAATACACATAAAATAGATGTAGTGATATTGCTGTTAGTCCTAGCCGAAGTCACTTCCCACAGTGATTGCAAAACCCAAAGGAGAGAGAAAGAAACTGCAGATGGTGAAGGAGAAGCAGGAACTGATAATTACATAGCTCCACGCAAAGAGAAGATCAGGCTCGTGTAAGGAAAGACTTCTGCACAAAACTTTATAGGTTGCATTTCCACAGAACACATGAGCAGCTATAAAATAATTTGGAGTATATCTCCTTGCTGATAGTATTTTAGTTGGTACAGATGGTTTATGCTCATATAAAAATAACGGTCTTCAGCAAAAACTTTTTGCTGAAAAATTATGGTATTAATCATATTAACAGTTGAGAGGAAGTTGCTGTGGCTGGTGACAAAACAACTCCAATTCACTTTGCAAAGACACTGATTAAGGGAACACATTAATTGTTGGCAATTTCTGCAATTCTGATCTTGGTTTTATAAAACTGCTTACTTTTTTTTTTTTTTTTTCCAAATGCTTGCTATATGTATTCCTCTGATAAATCACAACTCAAAGTTTTAGTTTAAAGATGCTTGTCCTTTTAGCAGTGGAGGAAAAGAAATGCTGAATGTGTGAGTTAGTACAAAATTAAACATGTTAATTAAAGAAAATTAAATATTTAACTATAAATTACTACCTGAGAGATGACAACGGGCATAGTGAGTTTCCTGGTTTCTGTGCACTGATGTGACCTCTCATGTG